AAACTGGATCGTAAAACACGTTTTAATGGTGTGTGATTAAAACTGGATCGTAAAACACGTTTTAATGAATTTTTTTTCTATACATAATTGGGTATTTGCGTTGCGCCTAGGGAGGGTATCAAATCCCAATTTTTAGCGTTCCAATCTTGTAATCTGAGCCACCGAGGAGTTACAAATAGTTTTATTTATTAATTCTTGATCCTACATATGGAAGAATATATCGCACAGTGTTAGTTAGGTTTCCAGTAGAAACATTACACATTATAAAAAAAAATGTGTTATATTAAATCTAAAATTATCAAAGCACTTTGACCAATCAAAACTCGCATCTTCTGCAAATACATTCTTCTGATCCTAGTATGAGTTTTTAGTTAGTTGTGTAAACTAATATTTCATCTTCCAGTTATTGTTGTCCAGAAATAATTAGTTTGATAAATTAGTTTCATGTTAACGTATCTTTCAAGTATGCTTCTTTTGTGTGCACTTATCCATTTGTTGGCTGTAACAGTATCGAATGGTCTGCGAATCCTATACTTGGATGTTCCTCAGAGTGTTGGATCAAGACAAGAGGTCAGACTTGGTTGTAGGTACGACTTGGAAAAGGACAGCCTATATTCAGTGAAGTGGTATAAGGACGATTTGGAATTTTTTCGTTTCGTACCGAAAGAAAACCCGCAACGTCAGTTCTTTCCCTTAGACGGTATTAACGTTGATGTAAGTGTTCCAAAAGTGTTTTATTTGTTTGTTCCAAAGTTAAAGTGCTGATCTCTGCGCTATCTGTCACTACTTGTAAAATGATAGGACTTTTATCGGACTGAACAGAGGGGTTTAACCACCACTCTTAACTGGTAACTGGACGTTAACCATACAATCTCAGTTCAAAATAGGCACGCTAACCATTGGGCAGCGTTCGGACCACCTAATAAAGAAAACGGGTGTTAAAATAATGAAATTATAAGTTGTTATTGGTGCTTCTCGGTCGCATATGTGGCTATTTAGTTATGAACCAAGTTAATGTTTAAATGTTTAATACTTCTTCTTAATTTCCTTTTAAATTTCATTAATTAACTCGTCTTGATTCAACCATTTCCATCAACCAGAATATCAGATAATTCACTAAAACAATAAATGGAGTATTTCTAAACAGAAAACTAACTACCACAAACATTTCTGGCACAGTAAAGACAGGAGTTGGGTGTGGCCTAGTAGTTATCGTGCCGGATTGTGGATCCTTTTGCCTACAAAAATGGAAAAAAAAAAGTGTACTCTCCACTTTGGGACCGCGTGTTCGTATAGGAATGACGATGACATTTCTTTATTCGTTTAGAGTAACAAAAGAATTGACATGAACATTAGGAACGGCTAGCGCAGACAGCTCTCGTGTAAGTTTGCGCGAATATTCGAAAGGAAAAACTAGTAAACAGTGTTGTTTCCACTCAAAGTTAATTAAGATAGATTACAATACTCTATATAAAATTAAACGTTACGGATATTTTTCCTCCGTAACGTATTCAATTGATTAAAATAAACCTTTCGTAATATTTACGGAATAATACAAAATTTTACGCCATGTACACCTTTGCGTACTAATTTTCACTTCTTGAAATACTAAATAGTTAATGATACAGTGCCTTTGGGATCGGTTTCAGGACGTTTAATAAGGACACGTGTTTTTGTTCTAGTTTACCCGCTCTAACAAGGATGTGGTACTTATTGAAGACGTTCAGATGGCCACTGGGGGGATGTATAGGTGTGAAGTGTCTGCTGATGCTCCATCCTTTAGAACGGTGTCAACAGAAAAAATGATGGTTGTCAAAGGTATGTATAGGTGTGAAGTGTCTGCTGATGCTCCATCCTTTAGAACGGTGTCAACAGAAAACATGATGGTTGTCAAAGGTATGTATAGGTGTGAAGTGTCTGCTGATGCTCCATCCTTTAGAACGGTGTCAACAGAAAACATGATGGTTGTCAAAGGTATGTATAGGTGTGAAGTGTCTGCTGATGCTCCATCCTTTAGAACGGTGTC